TTACAATACTTTAATAATTTATAGTAAAGGGAAATATATTGGAATAAGCAATACAGTGTGTGTTCATATATATATATATATATATATATATATATATATATATATATATATTCAGTGGAAGTCAGAATTATTAGCCCCCCTTTGAAGGAAGTTTTCACAGTATGATAATAGCTTTTTTTCTGGAGAAAGTCTTATTTGCTTGATTTCAGCTAGAATAAAAGAAGTTATAAATTTTTTAAGAACCATTTTAGGGAAAAAATTGTTAGCCCCTTTAAGCTATATATTTTTGTTATATATCTATTTTTGTTTTATATATCTACAGAACAAACCATCGTAATACAATAACTTGCCTAATTACCCTAACCTGCCTAGTTAACCTAGTTAAGCCTTTAAATATCACTTTAAGCTGTATAGAAGTGTCTTCATAAACATCTAGTAAAATATTATGTACTGTCATTATGGCAAAGATAAAAATAATTCAGATTTTAGAAAAAAACTATTATAACTATTCGGTTAGGAATGTGTTGAAAAAAATCTCTGTTAAACAGAAATTTGGGGGCTAATAATTCATGGGGGCTAATAATTCTGACTTCAACTGTATATATACAGTACATATATATATATATATATATATATATATATATATATATATATATATATATATATATATATATATATATATATATATATATATTCTAAGTGGACTACACACACACAGACAACACACACAGACAACGCTCGCAGTACAGCAGACCCGGTGAGGGAGGGATCCCTTCACATTCATCAACATGCACAATCGCGTACCTTAAATTGGCTTAAACTAAGCATTCTAAAGTATGTCTGTATTTTACAAGCAAGGATTCTGTCACACCAACATGAAGCAGATGCTTTATAAAAGTTGCATGTAGGGGGGAAACTCTGCTTTTCTGATTAAGATAATACTGATTAAGAGTCTATCATGTAAGCAGCAATTTTTGATTACCTTAAGGGATGTTAACGGAGTTTTTTCTCAGGCTTTCCAATTATGTTTTTCCTCTAGATGAAATATCATTTCTTTTAGGGTGGCTGGAATAAAACAATTATAATTAAATTAAGGTCAATATTATTAGCCTCCTTAAGAATATAATTTTTTTGATTTGCTACAGAACAAGCCACAATTGTCAGACAGCTTGCCTAATTAACAGAATTTGTCTTAAACTAATTAAGCTTTAAGCTGAATAGTATCTTGAAAATAAGTCAAATATTATGTACTGTCATCATGACAAAGACGAAAGAAATGAGTTATTCAAAATGAGTTATTAAAACTATTATTTTTAAAAATGCCTTGAAAAAAATAGCTCTGTTAATATTTATTTAAAATATCTCTGTTAATGAAATATTTGAAAAAGAATAAAATTGTCACAGGAGAGCAAACAATTTTGTCACAACAGAAGAAAAGATTGTGACTATCAACCTGAACTCTAACATACACCAGCCTAATCAATCAAATCTCACACACATATTCAAGTCATGACTAATGTTAATTTAAGCATTAATTATACTCTGACATGTAGCATTCCTCTGGGATTAGTTTACACGAAAGGAGGCCAAAGCAAATCGAATCCACCGACTCATTTATCCAGGCAGCTTTCAGCAGCGAACATCAGTTTCAATCAGGACACAAATGATGGAGGTGATTTCTGATGCACTCATATATTAAACGGGAGCGCTGCCAGGAACGCCTCGAGCCAGTCCTAATGACTGCATCAAATGCGTGGTGAGATTGCCATGTTTTTTTACTCCTATGAGGCAGATGCTCTGGGCTGCGGTCCAGATTTCATCTATATCACTGATACACACAAAGTCTAGACGGCTATCCAGCAATATTTGGACACTAAGAGGAGAATTGAAGTGAAATGCAGCAATCATGATATTTAAACACTGACATTTAAGGGAAATAATCAGAAACCGGTGTATATAAATAATGAAAAGCCGCAAGTGCTTTGATATCGATTTAAGCTAAAGTCGTCTTTCTGAGGAGATACGGGAAAGCATGGAGACTGACTGATAAGAAAAGAGTGACAGACACAAGTCTTCGCACTTCAGATGCGTCTCAGTGGCAGAATAATCAGATAGTAATTGTAGATGAAGATGAGAGGGAAATGTCTGGAATCTTAATGGCGTGCTTTTAAAGAGCTCATATGAAGTCAGTGTAGGATGATTACTGTGACTGAATGCGAAATGTAGTGTTTGCAGACAAATGAGTTTTTATAAAGCAGAGCAGCTTCTTCTTTAATGCTCAAATTAAATGGAAACTTGTTTTCTACAAAGCTTTTAAAGGCCATGCCTTAATGCAATATATCTCTATTATAAAACATGAATGTTGTTAATATATGAACCAAGTCTCCGACAGACGAGGACAAGTTCAGGGTCATTTTTTCCTTCTTTGCTTTTATCAAAACATGCTTTTGTTGGCTGTTCATGTGTCTGTAGGCAAACAATGGCACACAGGTGCTTTCTTTGTACTGAACTCAACAAACAACAATGCTTTCTGTGTCTTAGGGTAGATCTCAAAAGCCTATCCTTATATATTGTGCTCTATTATCTATTTTGTTGTGTTGCAAAACACAATGTTTTTGGTGAAAAATAGTCATCATTTGGATGACCACAATCTTACAAACCACCACCATGCAGAAACACGAAGAACAGCATGGTGACAAAGTTGTAAGCTCAAAATTACAACGTTTAATTTTGACAATTTATTTAGCAATATTTTATATTGGAATAATTATCATTTTGTTTTTTGGAAAGAGTTTTATATTTATTTATATTATCTATTTCTAAATCAAATATTCATCCTGAAGTTCTAAATAAAGTGAGAAAAATAATCATATACTGTATGAATTTTTTGAGCATCTACTTTAAAATGTAAAAAAGAAATAGTCCTTTCTATGTTGTCAATTTCTATAAACTAATAGATTGAATTCTCAGAACAGACACTACATTATGATTTTAATCATTATCAGGATATGACATGACTTATTTTGACTGTGGGCTCTATTTTACCAAGAGGCACAAAGATAGGTGGTGTCCGAATCCACTTTTGCTATTTTAAGGACAGAAAAATATGCAGACAAATACGGCGCATGGTCTAACAGGGTTGTGCTTACTCTCTTAATGAGTTATGACTGTATTTTGAGCATAACATGCATTACACCAATCAGAGTGTCATCTCCCATTCCTTTTAAGGGTGCTTTCACACTTGGTTCAATTGCCTGGGCCGTACCCAAGTTCTATTGTCCCCTTGCCACCTTCTCAGTTGGTTTGTGTTCACACTGTCTTTTTTGGTTTGGAGGGAACTTCTATTCTAAAGGCCCAACCCCCATCACTTTCTTTATTTGGTTTCTTTATTTTGGCTTTATTTTATTTGCATTCATACCAGAAGTAAACCGTACCAGAGTTCGCGTGAACAATCTCTTTCAGGCGGACTTGGGTACGGTTCACAGGTGCACACCCGAGTTCAGAAGACATGTTCACACTAGATAAATCTACCGTACTCTTGACATCAAACGAACTCGGGTGCGGACCAAAGGGCTAGTGTGAAAGCACCCATAGGGCCCTTATCATACATTTTACAAGGCGCGACGCAATTGTTGTTTGCTAGTTTCAGCTCGGCGCAAGAGTGGTTTTGACGTTTTGCGCCACGCTGTTTAAATAAGCAAATGCATTTGCGCTCATATGTGCGCCCCTATGTTCTGGTCTAAAAAGGAAGGCGTTCTGAGGCGCGTTGCTATTTTGAGAAACTATAATAGATTTTTCAATAGACCAGAACAAAGACGGTCTATTGTCCAGCGCCGAGCGCGTTAGTTGTGCACCTCGCTTAAACATTGCTTAATACACACAAGATGTAGAGCAATACGCAAATATCTACATTTGAAAAATAATAAAAATATTAAGGACATTCATTCATTCATTCATTTTCTTGTCGGCTTAGTCCCTTTATTAATCCGGGGTCGCCACAGCGGAATAAACCGCCATATTAAGGATATATATAGGATATAATAAGGATATATATAGTATATAAATATAAAAGATTAAAATATTACAGAACATTTTATTTTCTAGCCTACATAAATTTAAAAATCACTTTCATGCCTTCTTCATCTCGGGGGGCTTTTTCAGTTTATTCGTGACAATTTGCTGTTGTATAATGTTATTATTATTAGCATTATTATTTATTATATCCATATTTATATTTGTTTTATTAAAAACAAGCTTAGATTTGCCCACCTGTCAGTTTTTTTTCCATCCTTACAATAGCAAAAGTGGATTCTGAGACGTCCTGAATGCGTTTGCGCCCTGCGCTTTGCACTTTGCACATGGATCGTCAAAATAGAGCCATTAGAGTCAGTTGCATTACGCCATGGCACATTTGCTATTTACATGGGGGACTTTGTAAGTGAAAAAACTGAAGAAAAACTAAGGAGAAACAGTTAAACAGAGCATCTGCAGCGCGAGGACAAAGAATGAGCCTCCTCCATTCGGCCTCTTTACTCTTACTCTTTTCTTTACTCCTTTACTTTTGTGGATAAGGAAACCGCACGCACTCCACTAAAGACATCTATTAGCTTACATATTTAATTTAGTTTGTTAAGCACAAAGATTTGTTTCAAAACTATTTCTAAATTCACTTCTAATTTCCAGCAAAATAATAAATGAACAACAATAACAAAGTGTGGTCAAAAAACTGTTTTGTTTTCTTGCTCTGATTCATAGCTAAATAGCCAAGCAGAGTGTTCTCTTTTCCAACAGCTGACACAGATTTTACTTGCTGAATCAGACAAACTCTATCCAGGCAAACACCAAACAAACTCGCCTGAAAGATGCTCACTGATGGCCCAACACTGCCCAACAGCCTTTATATATAAGGCTTGGGACCTAAACTAAAGTGTTACCCATTTTAAAAGTGCATCTATTAAATGCATGCATTTGTTTTTGTTTTTTTCGTTTGTTTGTTTTACCTTTGTGAGTTCTGTAAAGGGCTGCAAATGTGACCACGAAGAAGGTGGTGGAGTATTTCCCAGCATTCACCAGGTGAGGGAAGGCTCTCCTGGTGTCCCGATAACGTCGCAGACACTGAACGAAGCGCAGCCAGGCAGGCAGACAGTGGATGATGGCTCGTACTCCATACGAGAAGCTGTTACACCTTTCATCACCTGACACAGGGACAGATACATTTTGAGATAAATGCATGTTGATATTAGCAAGATTTTATTATTTATTACAGTCATTTTTAAATCACAATATACTGGATCATTTTTATAATAATATTAATAATTTAACTATATAATAGTTATATAATATAATAATATATAATAGTTATATAAAACCTATATAATAGTTTAGGATTGTTTTTATTAGGATTTTGTTTAATAAAATGAAAATGTTTATACAATGGTATTATAATATAATTTAGCTGGATGACACCATTATTGTTATTATTAATAATAATAAAAATTACCTAATTATGATAAACATCAATCATTTAAAAAAGAAATACAATATATATATTTTATATACTAAATATTAAAAGATTATTCAGAAAAAAATTATATAAATAATAACATTATTATTATTATTATTTTAACAATAATTATTCATAAAAAAGAAGAAAAAGTAGATTACCTTAATTTTTGTTTTATAAATTTTTATTATTATTATACCATAGATATTATTCATGAATGCTTATTGTTTCGGAATATAAAACTATAATTTATGTCACAATCACCAGTGTTCTAGCAGATGCAGATCGCTGGGGAACTACAAATCTGACACAGAAATGGACTTTACATCCCATCATGCACTTCACACACACACCAGTTTCAGTTTTCTCCCTGATTGCACACAAATCAACAAATCATCGACTGATTCACACGGGGCTTCAGCTTCAACACTTGACAGAGGGCGTGTCTGAAGTTGGGACTGACACAATTGTCATAGTAGCGTCAGCCAATGAAATTAGTCAGCAATCAGCTTCTGTCTGAGCTGGTGTATTTGCATACAGCGATATGATTGGCTGACAATTCAGTCGGTGCTTGAAAAGTTGAGAAAGTCCCAACTTCTGCAGCAAGCAACATCACTGAAGCGGCGCCGACGGATCTACAATGCAGTTCTGCACGGTCGGACTTCACCCATTCAAAGTAATTGGGAAGTGTTGAAGCTGGCACATGGAGCGTCACCGTGCCTTTAGATCCTTGCCTTGCTTCTTTGTTTATCCTGTTTGCCTCCTGCACCGACTTCTTTGTCTGTGCTAATGGATTACCGTCATGATACTGTGTGTTCCTGTTTGACTATTGCCTGCCTAAGCTGCTAATAAACTGCATTTGGAACCTCACCTTTATTTTCACCCGACTCCTAGTGTGACAATTGTGAAAAGTAGTGTGAAAATGTACAAAACAACACTAATCAAGAAATATTTTTATATTTTTTTCCCAAACAATGTTTACGCCAATTTTTATATTTTTATATTTGCTTGATAAATATCCTTATCAAGCCAGGCAAACTAAAAAAAGCCCTGTTGCCCTGTTTTTCATAACACTCTTTCGCTCACTTTCCTTCTTTTTCATTCTCTGTATTTTGTAATAGTCTCGAGCTGGCGAGACACATTTCTGCACCATTAGAGCGCCGCTGATGCTTCGAATTTGCTGGTCCATTTCACATGACAGACTCCATTGAACCTGAAGAACTCCAGTCAGTGTTGACACTGTTTGAGCAATCCTAATTCATGTGCAAGAGCAAATTAATCACAACCGGCCATTCATCTGTCATTACATATAATGCTGAAACCGGGACTACTTAGTCAATAAAACACAGGACATCTTCATTCTGAATTAATTACCAAATTTGGCGGGCAGTAATCCATTGCGTTCTCCCCACTGCAGCTCCATGCTGTAGTAACACACCAGATACTCCAGATCCGACAACACAATGACCAGAGAATTGAGCTGATCTGCCAGCCAGAAATCTGCAAACTCCACTCGGTGGAACGGGGCGGTGAACACGCGGAACTGAGAAAACACAAACACAGAAAACGTGAGTCAGAATTATTCATAATGACACATATTTATACTGAAATATTAGAAATTATATGATAATATATACTAAATATAGTATATGTATAGAGTATTTTTGGTCATCTTTGTGGACAACAGAGAACAGGGCTTTATCTCTCAGGATAAGGTGCTTTTTAACAGCTCATCTCTGAGTCCTCACTATGAGTCAGTAAACCTTAATGAAAGCTCAGCTGGATGAAGGCAAATCGATGGGGATTTTCTTGGCAAATGTTCTGCGATATGAAGGATTCGGATTTCTGCTTTCCAATCAGTTTCATCATGGACCAACGTTTATCCTTTTCATCATCGTGTTTCTCAGTATTTAACTGTGAATTGATTTTAATTAATGAATAAGTTAACACATTGCTTAATATAAGAATGTTCAGTGTATTTGCCAGTCTCTTTATAACTATTTTCAGAAGCCACCCAACTAGGTCAGAGGTCACGGAGACCTTGAGTGAAACTAAGGGCTGAGGATTTTAAGCAAGCAAGCAGTTTCTATTGTTATTTCTACGAGTTAATACTGTCTAAAATGTCTATTTAGCTATTTTTACGGTTAATTCTTTTAAAGTGATTCTACCTTTTATTCAAGATAGACTTTGTGTAGTAAGAAATTATAACTGCCTGAATGTAGATTCTACCGGTTTTTAACCAGTTTTGATAAAGACGGCTGAGAGTACACTCAGCCTTGGATAAGAAACAGATAATACTTTATGTGTGTGTGTTCTATTTGATTGTTGATCCGTTTCACAGGTCTGGAGTCAGCTCTAATCAGTCTAAGGGATGTCTGACGTTTATGCTTAAGATAATGTTCAGAATTGTACGCATGAACCCCACGTGGAAATTTTCCTAGTCTATCTGTGTTTTAACCAATCAGGTTAGAACACCTATATGTATGACGCAGTTAATGACTTTATGTGAGAGTATAATTGTTATTGATTGGTGATTGTAAGCAGAGCGGCCTAGCAACTCATTGCGAGTGTTGAAGCTGGCTTCTGCTGATTTAACTGCAAACTATCTTCAGTAAACTTGATTTATATATAAACTATATTTATTTATTTAAATCTCTGACTCCAGCTCTTCTTCATCTACCAGACTGGTCTTTCTTTGGGTCAATCTGTAAACTATCCCTACAGATATCTGTTCATTGACCTCACCAATAAAATAGCTTTAACTGAGTTATATGTAAAGGTGCAAACACGACAAGAATGATGATGACATAACAATAAACATATCTGCAAGCAGCAATTATTGTGGTTCAAGTGCTTTAAGGCGTATTGGATATTATGTATCATTTATTAAGCCTATCAATGATGAATATTACAGCTGTAGCGCCACCTATGGGCAGATCTCATTACAGATTGATGCGTTTCTTTAAAATCACGTTGCATGTACTCTCCTTAATTTGTGAGGATCTGAGTTTAATTAGGAATAATAGGCCTTTTGGCATACAGTATATTAGACAACAGCTATTTTTAAATGACCCTATTATACAGTGCTCTAGATTTTAAATTAATATTTTGTATAGGATATTTACAATATTATATTTGTGCATAAAATATTCTCATTATTTTATAACACAATAGTTATGCAGTGGCACAGAGTTAGATCTCTTTGTTGACTTCACACAGAAACAGCAACAAGTGCAGCGTGACATCACTTTGTTGCATAGAAGTTATTGGTTAAATGCTGGCAAAGTAGAACAGAGAAGCAGCTTAAAGTGGAAAGCGCGAGTATGTCTGGGGTTTGGAGGTATTATAAAGCTGATGATGACAACATTGCCAAAGCAAACTGTGAGATATGTAAACGTGGGATTGCTTGCTGGGCATTTTTAGTTGAGGTCCTCTTTGTTTTTATATTAGATTTACTATTGCACTGATATTTAAAAGTGAAGAATTGATGTTATTTATTACTTGATTGTTAAGCTACCTCACAAAAGTGCTCTGTTTGTTAACAGAGATATTGAATGTTGAAATAAGGTGGACTAAATAAAAAAATAAGGAACATCCTGGATCAGTTTCTTTGCTCTTCTTCATACGTTTTTATTTATTATAGAAGTATCGGATCAGTTTTCGGCATCTATAGATAATCAATATTTAATGACTCAGATTCAGATTTGAGGGCAAAAAACCTGATCAGAACATCCCTAGTCCCAGACTACCAGTTGACTATACAAGAATGGGAAGTTAGGCCGTACTCACACTAGGTACAGTTGCCTCGAACCGGGCCAAAGCACGCTTGTCCCCCCTCCCGTCTCCCCCGACGGCCCGCGCTCACACCATATCGGGCCTCGGCACGCTTACGTCATCGCTGCTGCGCTGTTCAGAAGCGCTCTCTATGGCAAGCCTTTTTAGCATTTAAATCTTTGTTCTGACTCCATAAATATATTTAAAGATATCTCTAATTATATTTTGACTAGTCATAATTATAATTCGACTAGTCAGAATAACAATTAGAGATATCTGCAATTGTACTAGTACGAAATCAGATTGGAGATATCTGCAAATATATTATGACTAGTCATATTCCTCCATTGACTTCCATTGAAAAATATTTGCAGATATCTCTAAATTAGTTTTGACTAGTCACAATTGTAATTAGAGATATCTCTAACTGAGTTTTTACTAGTCATACATTTGGAGATGTCTTTAATTCGTAATATTTAGAGATATTTACAAATATATTTGAAGATATCTCTAATTAATTTACTAATAGTCGAATTACAGTTTACAGATATCTTAAATTGGATTTTTGACGAGTCAAAACTCAGAGATATCTGCAAATATTTTTCAATGGAAGTCAATGGAGGAATATGACTAGTCATAATATATTTGCAGATATCTCCAATCTGATTTCGTACTAGTACAATTGTAATTGCAGATATCTCTAATTGTCATTCTGACAAGTCGAATTATAATAATGACTTGTCAAAATATATAATTATATCTCTAAATATATTTATGGATAGTCAGAACAAGGTTTAAATGTTAAAACGGCTTGCCATACGGTCTCTCACTCAGCAGCACAGTGGAGAGTTCTCTAGTTATATCGTTTCAGTCGTTTGTTATGCAGTGACATTTAGTCAAATATTTCGCCAAACAGTCCTTAGGGATGTGGGGACACGCAGTCAGATATTTTACCGAACAGATCCGCCACTTTTGGCGCTCATAAACAATCAAAGCTCTCGTGCTGCAGGAATGAGGAGGTCTGCTGAAGGCGCGCAGCTGGCGTGCTGTGAGGAGTTTGCGTCTTTAATAAACTACGGCAGTTTGCGATCACTGAACAGTAAGAATGATTAATAAATCCATATCAAACAGTCCCTTAAAAGTCACGTCTCGCTTTCGGTTTCGGGCTTTGGCGCGTTTCGCTGCTCACACACAAGCGTATCGCGCCAAAGCCCAAGTGTACCGCGCTCAGGCACACCTCTTCCAACCGGGCCAGGGCCGGCCAAGTGAACCGTGCTTGAGCCCGATTCAGCGCACTCACACTTCTCAAACGATCCGGGAAACGGGCCTGGGCACGGTACGGATGGCATAGTGTGAGTAGGCCCTTAATCTCCTATTAAAGCAATGCTAATGTAAAGGATGATTATTAAACCATAAATAAAAAAAATAACTGGAAACAAAAGAAAGCAGGTATAAAACATTGTGTTTAATAATAAAGTATGATTATGTGCACACAGTTAACGTTAGGCCCATTCATAATCTGTTCAAATGGTTAAAGCGAAAGCACAAAACATGAAAGTATTCACCTGCTCTCTTTTTTGTGCTGCGTCTCGATGAACTACAATTGAAAAATTATTTTCAACCAGCCAAAGTGGCTAGTGGGAGCAGCTCTCTGACCCGCTACAGCTAAAATCTTCCTGCATTTAGCGGGTGTTAATATCAAGCCCTGTTTGTGCATATACATTAGATTACATAAAATATAACTTACAATAATGGTCCAAAAATTAGTAGCTCAAATTTATATGTAAGAGAAAAATATTAAATAAAAATTTAAAAATATAAATATATTAACATTTTGTAGAAATTTTGTAGTTATATATGTAAATATTTTGCTTGACTTTAAATGTACTGTCTTTCTATTTCTAAAGATGGTTGGTGAATAAAATATTATTTTAATAAATATTGCTAATAAATCTGTTTTGTTCAAATGCACCAACGCATACCTATATTTACCGGGAAATTATTCAAATTACTAGTTTTCAAAATGGGGTGTACTCATTTATGCTGACTATTTATCATTAATTATTAATTTTATTAATCTACAGAGTTCAGAGGTCAGTACAACAATGATTTTGTAAAGCCAAGTGAAAAGGACTACTTCCTAAAAGCGCGTTTTTTAATTAATGTAAAATATTTCATGAACAGTTGGATTAATAGCAACAGTAAAATGTATAAAAATTGAATAAAATTCAACTGAATGAATATAAATGAATGAATGAATGAATGATTAGTGTTGCCCTTGAGTCACATTGCTTTTCTTTTCTTGCTTTAATGATATTCTGTGTCACACGCAAACTACCCTGAAATGAAATGAAACTACCTCTCTCAGCCTTCAGGGCAGTGCTGACATTTCCCAGCGACACAGTTTTGCACTACACCGATCTATGCCACCATACTCCTGAGGCTCAAATGCCAGTGAAAATCGATTTCTCCCCACACAAACACTGATCGGTTATTTCTACCTGATGAAACAGGTAAAAAGCTCTTTTAAACATCCAGCTCTAGATGTGAGGTACGTTTGAAGGTTGCAGCAGCATGTGCGATGCTCAGCTGGACTGTGACAGCGCGTTTGAGCTCTGGGAAGAAAACCACCCACTGTTTGGCCATCAGTACGTGTCGGTTTTAATCTACCGGAAGTGTGTGTGTGGGTGTGTGTGTCTGAGGCGCTCTGAGGAATAAGGCTCCAGTCGGGGTCAATTAGATGTGGGGAGGGCAGCGAGACAGAGGCAGGCGGCGCTGATGGCTCCATCCCAATAATGATTGCACAGGCACAGGCTTCACATCCGCAGAGATAGAGCCGCAATCTATTTCCCTCACCTCACTGCCCTGGGCCTCAAACACAGAGACACACGCATAATCGCACACGGACCTCACTGAAACAACTGAATACATGAGGTGCAGGGGCAACAGGAGTGTTTTTTTTTGTGCATTCATTTTTTGCATGTTTTTTATTCATTTAAATTCATGGAAGGTGGCAGAAAATGTTTTTTTTTTTTTTATGATTCAAAAGATTTCTGTTCAATCCCATGTGCATCCCTATGAACATTGTCTTTTTTTTTTTCATTTTATTAAATTGTTTTCGATGTGTATTTATGCAAACTGTCATGATCACCACCAGTAATCTAAGCCTTGCAGATTGCTGGAGAACTACACATCTGTCATTGAACTGGACTACAAATACCATGATGCATCTTGCACACACACTAGTTCCTGATTCCCTCTGATTACACCCACATTACAGGTGGTGTAAGGTTTGTTTCTTCTTATGAACATTACAGCGTTTTCCCTTGTTTATCTGGCTTTGTTTTGATTTTTGTCTTGTTTACTGTTTTTATTCTTTGCCGCCTAGTCTGACCCTTTGCCTGTATTTTCACCACGTATATCTTTATGCAGTTTTGACCATTGCCTGCACGATTTCTCTTTAAATAATCTACATGTGGATCTTCACGTTCGTTGTTTAAGGCAAGGCAAGTTCATTTATATAGCACATTTCATACTCAGTGGTAATTCAAAGTGCTTTGCATAAACAGGAATAGAACAGGAAAAGAGACAAGTATAAGAAAATAAAACAAATAATAAAATAATTTTAAAAAGATTAACAGATTACAACAGGTTATAAAAGAATGAAAAAAAGAAAGAAAGACATGATAGTGTGATCTGTCGGACATAGCACAGTTCCCATTCAGCAAAGGCACAGCTAAACAGATGTGTTTTCAGTCTTGATTTGAATGTGCCTAATGTTGGAGCACATCTGGTCATTTTCTGGAAGCTGATTCCAGCAGCCAGGGGTGCAGTATTGTTTGACTGAACACTTGGAGTCTCTAGTTTATTTGATCCTAAAGATCTGAGTGATGTGTTAGGATTGTTTACAACATGTGTCCTATGTTATTCAAACAGCATAAACTTTAGCAAAACTTTTGTGGCATTTTAGCTAAAAGTCGATCATTCTTTGTTAACAGGTTTCCATTTTGGCTTTGAGAGGTGTAAAATTCAGAATATTTTGAAAGATTTTTTTCAGGTTTGCCCTTGGGACAAAATTATCACTTTTCCCTGTAGCCTGCTTTTGGGGTTTGTAGGACTGATTTATTAAAAATTTGTAACTATAATTATGAGGGGTGTGTCTGTATGAATATCAGTGTTAGTTTTTTATGTGTATACTGAGAAATTTGCATGTGTGTGAGTGGTAGTTTTTTGTTTGTTTATAAAATAACCCCAAACATATAAATGTATGTTACATTGGTACTTCTATTAAACTAATACAAAATATGAGAATGAAGAGAATATGAGATGGATGAGAACTAAAATAAGCAAACTGGTCTTAGCTTAAATTTAGCTTAAATAATTTATCATAAATATTTCTAAGAAAACAATTAAAATAATCATAAAAATTTTAATTAGAAGTGGAGTAATTTCATATTGGGATGGTAAGAGTGTGCAATATTTCTTGTCTATTATAATATTGTAATTATTGTTTTAGCAATATATGAGTTACAAAAACTTCACTTTAATCCAAATGCATTCACTGTAAGAGGAAGCCTATTAATATGCAGTCAATGATATATGCAGTCAAAAATTATAATGGAAGTTAATTTAATAAGCTTATACGTTAATAAATATATTGCTGAATATTTTTTTAAAAATATATTTATGTTATACAATGATATCTTAAGTCCAAGGCACTCGAAAAGTAAGTGTAAAAATTAAAGAGCCTTTATTAACATGACGATTGTATAGAAAAGCACCTATGCGTTTTGGCAACACTTTACTTCATCCACCCCATAATAAAGGCTTTTGAATTTTTTCACATACTTTTCGAATGCCTTGAACTTAAAATTTCAATGTTTATCTTTAGGAATCCCTTACCCAAAGGGCACTGGCACATTAAATACCCCCGAAGCACTTTTGGTTTGATTAAGGATTTATATTTATGTTATATTTTAATAATATTGTACAAGCAAAAGTACCATTTTTTGGAATATAAATCTGTGAGTGCAATATTCTTTTGAAAGAGCCAATGATTCAATCGTCTATTCTTAAACAAACTGTTTGAATGAATGTTTCATTCATTTATTCATTCATTCATTCATTTTCTTTTTGGCTTAGTCCCTTTATTAATCTGGGGTCACCACAGTGGATTGAACTGCCAACTTATCCAGCATGTTTCTACACAGCGCATGCCCTTCCAGCCGCAACCCATCACTGTGAAACATCCATTCACATTCATTCACTCACATACACTACGCACAATTTAGCCTACCCAATTCACCTATACAGCATGTCTTTGGACTGTGGGGGAAACTGGAGCACCCGGAGGAAACCCACGCAAACGTGGAGAAAACATGCAAACTCCACACAGAAATGCCAACTGCCCCAGCCGAGGCATGAACCAGCGACCTTCTTGCTGTGAGGCGACAGCATTACCTGCTGCGCCACAGAGTTGCCCATGAATGATTTAATGATTCATTAATATAGGAATATGCTACCACATACTAGATGTTTTGGTGGCATTTCTTCATTCATAATTAGTTTCAACAAGTAAAGGTACCAGCATTTGTTATTAAAAAAAATCCCATGAGAGTTTTTGTCAAAATAGCAGACACTTGTCAAATGGAGCCTAAAACAACTTGAAATAGCCCTTGTGGCCCAGATTTCTAATTACCATCATTTTAGTTGAAGTGGAAAGGTTTTTAAATCATCTGCAGTGAATTCCTGTCTCTTACCAGCAGTTTGATGAGCCAGAATCGGGATTTGTAGTAGGCGGTTTTGAAGGGGTTGATGAGGAACAGCAGCATGAAGCCGTAGAGGATGAGGGGATTGGCCTGCATAGGCAGCCAAGTGTAGTCAGCAAACAGACAGGACAGGATGCTGAGACACCACAACACCCCCAAAAACCCTGCGATCTACAGCGAGAGAGAGGACAAATGATCAGATACTAAATCTGGATATTTTCCTTTCCCTTCAGGCTATTTGGTCTGTTGAAATACAGTGTTGTGTCTCACCTCAAACAGATGCTGATGTGAAAGATTGTTTCGAGGATTCAGCTCAAATATCAGCACATGATTGACACCCGCCTGCCTCCAGCCATAAGTGTTGATCCCCAAGAGGAAGAGAAACTGAACGAGCAGGAAGCCTCCACGGTAGATGCGCACCAGTGGCCAGATGTTCTGCTTACGAACGAAAAAAGCACCTGAGAGGGAAGAATCAGTCACACAGCTGGATTATCGACAAATCAGCGAATTATTATTATTGCAATATGAGACAAACAGTTGAAGGCAAAGTTATTAACCCTCCTGTGGAAATGTTTTTCTTTTTCAAATATTTGGTTTAATGAAGAGAAGATTTTTTAACCACTTTTATTAAACATAAAAGCTTTAAGCCATAATAGCCATGATGACAGTATATAATATTCTACTAGTTATTTTGCAAGACATTAGTTCTCAGCTAAAAGTGCAATGACAGTGAACATCTGTAAACTGACTACATCGTAATTTGACACATTTGCTGATAATATTTTAAGTAATTATGTGTCTTGATAGTTCTTGTTATCCATTAAATACTTTATGATTCCAAAAAAAAAAAATATCATCATGTTATTAAACTACTAGAATTACCATATTTTAAACATAACCTGCAGCAGATAAAAATAGCATTTAATAGTTACATAAAAATTAACATGTAAATAAAAATCCATCAGCTTTTTAAATTCTTTTTCCATTGGATTGCGACCCCTGAGGTTATTATGCAAGAATAATGACAAAGCAATAGTGTAAGTTGAAGCAGATTGATTTTACGGCACATTGTTAAACTTTGACACCTTATGGCACTCATGTATATTAAAAACAAAAGGCCACGACTTAACATTGAGGATTATCTCCAAGTGGCAGACTTTAAAATTAAACCAGGAATAGTCTTGTGCTGTAAACATTGCGCCCACCATTCTCATTAAAAGAGGTTAATATTAAATTAAACAATTGAAAAATGACTATAAAAAATTATATGGTTGTTAGCAGTGATGGGCAAAAATACATTGAAATGTATTTTAAAATAAAATACCAAACACCTCAATTATAGGTGTGTCAAAATAAACTACAAAATAAAGCAGCCACAAATGTATCAAACTAAAATACTGTATTTTTGTGCAGTTTTACTACAAAAAAAAACTTTTACAAGTAAGCATAAACCTTCTTTGCAAATTGTCCATGAATAGGCCTATTAAATCAAGTCCAAATTTGATAGCAACAGATTTTCTCTGAGCAAGTTTTAGTAGATTCTCTGCCACCTCATTTACTTTTACTCTTACTGTACATGACTAGATATCTATACATTATTTACTTGTTACTTTATTATTATCAATTTAGTATAATTTTTTGTACAAATCTCATACAGAAAGCCCTGTTTAATGCAGATAATGAGTTAGAAATCAGTACTATATCTGTTGATTATGTTCCCAATATTGTGTGGCCGGTAAAATTGATATAATCTTTGTATAATGATTATTTAACCTGTTAACAGTCTTATGTTTTAAAAGAATGATATATGATGACTTTCATTTTTAAATTATTTTTTTTCACAGAATTTTTAATTAAAATTTTTTTTTGCAATTTGCCTATTCAATATGATTTCTGAAAACTAAAAACGTTCCATATAATTTCCAATTTATATAAAAACATGATACCTCAAAATCACTAAAAATGGAGTCATCATAATTTGCAAATATAATCTCTTCATATACTGCTGATGCCGTATAACCTGAGTCAGGTGTTTTTGGCTAGGCTGTTTAGACTGAATTGCTGTATTATTAAATATTAGTGCTTCATATATTGTCCCACTGTGACATCTTTAGGCAGACATCTTTCTTCTTCATTAACTAATTTAACTCTATATTGTAAATTTAAACAGCCAGTGAAGTAATGTAGGTATCGCCATGATGTGATGCATAATTTCCTTCCATACTCCAAGCACTGACCACCTTCTTCAATATAAATATATTTTTTGTTCTGATCTCAAGGTAAGGCAAACAACTGAGAAAGCACCAATCAGAGGCGGCTTATTTATGATGACATCATGTATACTTAGTATGACTTAGTATTTTACAGTATTTTAAAACTACAAAAATACAAATCACTAAAGTATTTTGATACAAATATTATATTTAATTTTCATCAGCCCTATCAAATACAAATTACCATAATTTTTTTTGTATTTGAAATATGTACTTGAAATACATGTATAAAAAAATACTGCCCATCCCTGATTGTTAGACTGTTTTTTTGTGTTGTCATTAAGCTCATTTATATAGTTCCTACTGGTGTGTGGAGACTGTTGTGTGCAATGTTTGTATGTTTATAACCACCTCCAAGGATAGTGGGGTTTTGCTAGTCACTGGAATTGTTATTTTGGGGGTCACAAGTTGAAATGTTTGGGAACCCCTGAACTAGGTAAATTACCCAAGATTGGTTAATTAGGCAACTCAATGGACAACAGTGGTTTGTTCTTCAACCGAAAAAATAATTACCAATAGTTTTGACATTAGTAATTTTTAAAAACGATTTTTTTTAAATTCCAACCACACAACAACAAAAAAGACTTTCTCCAGAAGAAATATATAATAGAAAATAACGTGAAACCTTTTCTTGCTGTTAAACATCACTTGGGAATTTTTTGAAAAAGAAAAAAAAATCACAGGAGGGTTAATGCATTTTCTTCAACCTTATATTAGCAACAATTCTGGAATTTATACACCTAATAAGATGTGTTTATCTAGTTTCATATGGAGTAAATGTGTAGGGTGATAAAGAAAACTGTACCAGTAAGGACGAAGGCGACAGCCAGGACAATGAAGACACCACAATACAGTCCCACACGAAAGGTGGTCCATGCAGGTGCAGGCTGAGCAAGAAAAATACACTTGGTCACTCTAGTTGTTATTCTAGTAACTTACAAAATTCAGGAACACAAGGAATGCATTTTAGCTTTTATATGATTCATGGTACAAAAATAAAACTGAAAACTTTGTTTGAGCATTTACATAGGTAACTGATAATATATTGATGTTTTAATTTGATAAGTCATGGCAACTCAATGATCCCTTTTTTAAATAATCAGTTAGATAAGCCTCATGTTTAACATAAAGTTTGTGTTGTAATGTGTTATGCAAAGAGACAGTGTCAGGCAAATGTATGCAGGTTGTCGTACATGATGTTCCAGGCACAGGTGAATCTCTCCACCCACTCTGCTTATGCATTATACTATTCCTGAAGACTTATACAACTGCCATTGACCTAGAACTAAAAGTACTGCATGAAAATAACACTGCAGATATAGGTTTGATATTGTTTTTTTTTTCAGCCTGCATAATTGCTGCTTTCCATGCTGGCATTCCTCATTAAAATAATACACATATTAAAGCCACATTAGTATATAAAACAGCTTTGATTCATCCAATATTAAATTAAATAAAATGTTTAAAGGTTTAAATGTTAATAACAAAATAAAATGTAATGTATGGGTCAACTAAAACATTTTTTCTGTTACTCTAAAGAGTTGATAGTGAATATAATACATTACAAATCTTTGCTGAAAGTTGCAGTGTGTATTTAGTGAGCTTCTTTCTGACCTGTGCTGCTCCCAGAGGAGGAACCCTCAGCCTCTTCATGGCCTTCTGACGGTCTCCTCCCTCCAGCTCAGTGGTCACCAGAGCCTGCATACACAGAGGTCAGTCACCATCATTTACTTCAGCCATTTCTGCCCTAAAGCTCCAATATATTTCTGGCTTTGAGCAGCTACAGGAGTGTACAGTACGATCTGATCATCATTAGTGCAGAAAGTCAGTGAAGTAATCATGGACTCTGTACCTCGGTCTCGGAAATGAGCTGTGTGATCTTCTTACAGGTGTAGAACGGAGCCACTTCCACATGAGCCACACGCCAGTCGGCTCCACGTGGAGTGTCCAGAATCTTATCATGCTTCTTCAGGATCTTGCGGAACCCGGTGAAGTTCAGATTCTGTCAATAGAGAATTAAGATTTTTGAACTATAAATGAACTTCATAGAAGGTTATACGCTAGAAAAATAAAACAATTGTTATCATCATACTTCTCCACTGATTAAAGGTGGTTAAAGGTCCAGTATGTAAGTTTGACACCCAGTGGTTAAACTAGGTTTTGCACTCTTGGATCAAAACAAACACAAATGCAGGTTGCCAGATTGAGAACAGGAGAGAGTGATTTAAACTGTGGTCTAAATAAAAGCAACGGCTCCTGATAGAAGGAATATTTTACATTTTAAAAAGAGATTTTGTTCTAACCAACAACTCGAAATGATATATTAGGAACGGCTTCTATTTCTTGTAGCTGAACAACAAGATAAACTGACATTAATCACCTCAGGTACACCTCATGTGCTTTATTTAGTGTTAAATGCTAACAATGTGAGTTTAAATGTCATTTTACAGAACATTTATTGCCATACTACTGAAAGCAGCAGCAGATAGTTCACCTCAGATCTTGAAAATAAAATAAACCCTTTGAATTTAAACTTTAGAACTAAACACATATCAGTGATTGAGCGTGTACATTAAATGCTGTTAAAGAGGTTTAATATGTATTAATTAGATTATAAACCTTACTATTTCATGATTGAGTGATATCCTGTGCTTCTGAAGGCTGTATTTAAATTTCTGTCGTGTTTCATTTGATGCAAACAACATAATTGCTTATCACTGCAAATCTCCTGAAATATTTGCAGGCAACCCGGGGTGCTGAAATATAATTGGCTAAACTGGCATTGGGCAAGTTAAAGTTACCAAAACAAAGACTGCCGTTCTGGCATGGAAAACACATCAAAGCAGAATATCTGACTTCAGCATTTTTTTTAGATAAACAAGAATGTTCACTTAGCATGTTTCTTAATTATCTGCAAACATATTATGGTACTTTTATGTTTTAGAAGAGTTAAAATCTTACATTAAAATAAGGAAAATTGCAAATTCTGGTAAACAATGTCAATGTTTGAAGGCAACAAAACAATCGTGTCTATAGCCCAACAGGACCTTAGAGGCCTGTTTAATATCTTTGGTATAATTACTAGACATGACCCTTACTGGTAATTGGCTTCAACTGCTTATGACACTACAGTCATAATATATTTGCAGTAAATACAAGTCTAGCTCAAAAATCTGAACATTAAATTAAGCCAGGTTCAATAAAAAATTGATTTTTTGACACAGTAAAGGTCAAAAATAAAGTTTTTACAGGGGAGGTTTTGGTAATATCTTTTTATTATTTATTATTTCCCCAATTTTTTGTAGAATAACATATTTATATTCAGTCCAAAAAGTAATAATTATTAAAATAATAATTAAATAAAAATAAACTTACACTAATGTTAATGTCATTCTTTTAATGTAAAATTCTAGTGTTGGCAAAGAAGAAAAAGTAGTAGAAGAAAAAATATACAAATAAAAGCCAAGGGAAAAAGGTCCAGAAAACAAAGTGGGAGGACAACATCAGACAAACATCAACATGAAACATGTCTAATCTCAGACCTGGTAGTTCTGCAGGAGGATAAGGCTGAGGTAGAACTCGCTGAAGGCCAGCTGCAGGTCTTTGATGTTACGATGTTTGTTGCGCTCCTTGTTGGACAGTGGGAGCACAGTTTTGCGGCGACTGCGCAGGGCTGGAGCGTTGCTCTCCCGCTGAGCATCAAGAGACGTCTGCAACTCATTCTGCAAAGTAGCAAACCGTCGCTGTGCCTCGGCCAGTTTCTCTGAAACAGAAGATGTAAATAGCATTTGAGATTTATAGACAATTATTGTTTTATCTCATATGATGATTTTTAAGGGCAGCATGGCGGCGCAGTGGGTAGCACAATCATCTCACAGCAAGAAGGTTGCTGGTTTGAGCCCTGGTTCGGTCAGTTTGCATTTCTGTGTGGAGTTTGCTTGTTCTCCCATGCAAGTCCAAAGACATGCGGTACAGGTGAATTAAATAAGCTAAATTGGCCGTGGTGTATGAGAGTGTGTCCAAGAGTGTGTGGGTGTTTCCTAGTGATGGGTTGCAGCTGGAAGGGTATCTGCTGCGTAAAACATGTGCAGGATAAGTTGGTGGTTCAGTCCACTGTGGCGACCCCTGATTAATAAGCCGATAAGAAAATGAATGAATCGTGTGATGATTTTTAAGAGAAAGCAGAAAATCCTGTGTAAAAATTAGAAAGGAAAATTATGATCTTAAAACATGTTGAAGCTGTCTAATGAGAGGCGTAAAGGCAGCTTGGCTTGCAACCCTACAATGAAATGCATCAGAATCTATTTTGCCGGATGAATAAATGGCTTATTCTGCTCATCAGACAGATTTCCTGTCAGAGATGAGCGTCTTCCTGTAAGGGCGATCTCTCAGACTGCATTATCTGCTCTGGCCTGCGTCCCAGCACAGTTTGGTGAACAGGACCCTGATCAGTTTCAGAGGAAGGAAACGAGTATTAGGTTCAGCAGACATTTAAACACTGAGAGCACTGCTGGCATTTGGGTTATGAGCCTCAGAGAAACACCAGGGGCCTCATGTATCAACGCTGCGTACGCACAAAAACTTTGCGTACGCCAGGTTTCACGCTCAGAATCGCTCACGTTTGGATTTACTAACAATGAACTGAACGTGGGAATGTGCGCACCTTCACGGCAGCTTTCTGGCAGGCGTACGCACATTTTTTGTGCGTGTCTGTTTTATTTCCATTGGCGACTCCTAGAGGCAGTTGTGTTAAATTCTTCTCTACAAAGTGTCTGAGCCTTGCAATGGCAGCTGTATGAGACGGGTTCATACAGTGGCGTAGCGGACGGGCCCGCAGGGCACGCACCGCGGGGGGGCCCCGCGTAATTAGGGGGCCCCGCGTCGTCGCGATTTTCAATAAACTGTTGGGAACAACTGTGGTCGGAACCAAAGTTCACACGTCTGTGTTCTCTAAACACCTCTCAAGCGGTGGACTACTTCATTCTGATTGCTTGCCGCCAATGTTGCCAACTTAGCGACTTTGTCACTAGATTTAGCGACTTTTCAGACCCCCCTATCGACAAATCTAGCGACTTTTTTGTGTGTTATTGAAGATTTTTTTAGACTGTCATTTGTCCATACTGTACCGTCCCTACTCTTCTCAACGAGCTGCGTGTGATGCCGCCGGCCCCTCCCCCGCCTCACAGCACTGACAGGCGGCCCAGTCAGTCCTCGTACAGCAGCCTCTCCCACCTGCAGCTCGAGAGCAGATCACCCCTCTGCGTACCGACGACAAATGATTTAGCACAGGCAGTGTGAAGGTTTTACCCTTGTACAGTCAAACCGATCTACTTCTACTTTATTTTAACAATTCAATTGGACCGTTTATTCTTTTCTTGTTCACAATCACAGATATTTTAGTGACAGTTTCTGAACTTGTCTAAGTTTATTTCATATGAGAGATTACTGCACATTCACTAACGTTACACATCTATAATGATATACTGTATTCAAACAGCAATAAATTTAGTTAAATAAACATGCTTATATGTAGTGCAATTTAAATACCCCTTTATTAACCATAGGCTGTTAAACAGAAACGGTAGAACGTGATGACGTCAGTGATATGCAAATTGACGTATGACGTATCCAATCCCCCCCCCCCCCCCTCATCAGGGGGCCCCGTCAGCGATCCCTGCAGGGGGGCCTCCGCATTTTGCGCTACGCCACTGGGTTCATATAGTAGGTATGTAAGATTTCCATACCATACAGTTGACCAGCTAAACATTAAAGCACAATTTGCAGCGGTCGCCTGTTTTCCCAATGTAATCTGAGCTATCTACTGCACACACATTGCTATAAAGACACTATCTGAAGATAAATTTGCATGCGTGAATCAGAAACATTTCCATTCAATAAATGTGCAAATAAAATATGATGCACAAACTTATTAATGATTCCTACTTGTCTTTCTCGTGATAAATAGTGGGCAAAATCTGATATGTAGCGGGAAAAAAAGAAGAAAGAATTCATCAGACGCTGGATTCGAACCGAGTTTGTGCTCGAACGAGTCAGTATATGATCATATGCTTCTTATGAGGTGCGCCACTGAGACTGCTAAGGGTGCTGCAACAGTTTACAGATATAAACCACACTATTTCTTTTTTAAATGCACTCAGTGCGATGTTCAGACCCAACTGTGTTAACCGTATCAGCTAAACTCTCCCACTCTATTTTTTTCTTTTGTTGTTAATTCCGGAGAACAAACTTGCAAATAACACCGCTTTTCTCCGTTCTACCTCCGAAAGCAGCACCTCCAATTCACATTCTGTTCAAAGTTTCTCTTTTTGTTTGAATTTGCCGTTGCTTTTTCGTTGGGTTTTTCCATTAGCATAGTCATTAGCATATTCATACGGGGGAGGAGGCAGGGAGGGGTTTTGCGCTCGTGCATGTTGCGCTCAGTTTCACGTTCATTCGGATGTACAAAAGAATATGCGTGAGATTCGGCGTACGCAGTGTTTCATACATCTGAATTTTTTTCTGCGTACGCACATTTACAGCTTTGTGCGTACGCAATGTTTTAGTAAGATTTCCACGCAAGTCTTCGTACATGAGGCCCCAGGAGAAAATGCAGAATGAAGGAGAGCGAACACCTCAAGAACTCTAAAAGTCCAACTTTTTCTGCCGAAAAGTTTTGACTTTCTCAAGGCAATCTATAAGCACTGCAAATACTTTCACTAGACCAAACATTAAACAAAACTGTAAAGAATTATGAATAATTTAACTGTAAAATGCTGTAATTGTTATGGAAAAAATGGCTTTATTTTTGGGTTTATGTCAAAACTCTCAAGAATGAACCAAAAACTGAATGTAATTTTACATAAAAATGTAGCATTTTCAGAATAATAAAGTAATCTTATAATTTACAGTAAAAATCTGTAAACTGACAATCCTGTGATTCGTGACTCGTTTGCTGATAATTCATTAAGTAATTATGTGTCTTAATTGTTATTGTTTTCCATTAAATACATTATGATCCATCAATAAATACTGATTAATTTTTACACCAACACAAAAATATTTACAGTTGCATTCAGAATTATTAGCCCCCATGAAATATTAGCCGCCCTTTTTATTTTTTCCCCCAATTTCTGTTTAACGGAGAGAAGATTTTTTTCAACACATTTCTAAACATAATAGTTTTAATAACTTATTTCTAATAACTGATTTAATTTATCTTTGCCATGATGACAGTAAATAATATTTTACCAGATATTTTTCAAGACACTTCTAGCACTTCACAGCTTAAAGTGACATTTAAAGACTTAACTAGGTTAATTAGGTTAACTCGGCAGGTTAGGGTAATTAGGCAAGTTCTTGTACATCTATGGTTTGTTCTGTAGACAGTCGAAAAAAATTTAGCTTAAAGGGGCTAATAATTTTGTCCCTAAAATGGTTTTTAAAAAATTAAAATCTGCTTTTATTTTAGTCGAAATAAAACAAATAAGACCTTCTCCAGAAAGAAAAAATATTATCAGACATACTGTGAACATTTCCTGAATTTGTTAAACACGACTTGGAAAATGTTTTAAAAGGAAAAATATACAAAGGGGGCTAATAATATGTATATATAATTGTTATTGCGCTATAAAATAACTGTTCAAAAGTTGTTTATAATTTTATTTCATAATTAATTCCAGTGATTTTAAATATACATTTTTAGCTTTATTACTCCAGTCACATGATCTTTCAGAAATTACTCTAATATTAATTAGTTATTTTTTTTATTGTTATTATTATTATTATTATTATTATTATTATTATTATTATTATTATTATTAATAGTAATATAAGCAATAATGACTGGAGTAATAATTTTATTTGAAACTACGTATAATAAGTTATTTGAATTTTTTTTATAAATATTTAACAATTTAACAATCTTTTTACATTTAATAAATGTAGCCTTGACAACCAGAATAATTTCCTTAAAAAGAAACATGAAAAAAAAATCTGACCCCAAATTTTTGATATGGTTATAAAAGATACGATTCTCAATTATTAAATATATATTATTACATTTTTGTTTATATAGTTAACAAAGTGACAGTGTTTTTACAATTCCATAGGAAACCTTAATTCCTGACACTCCTAATAACACAAATTTGTTAATATTATAAATAATAATTTTTGATTAAACCACAAAAGAAATCCGTAAATAGATTAGCGAAAAAGTTCATCTTTTTAAACATAATGTCAGATTTATTTCCTTATTTTAAACTTTAATTTTGGACAGAAAAAAACACTAAATAGTGTTAATGTTAGGTGCTGACTTTATAGGGCACATCCAGAAAAAAACACTGGCTGTGAACAGAAGATGTGACCTCAAAATAGCACTCAGCATATCGAATGAATGCCACAACCCGGCTCTTTCATGTCAGTTTATATATGGTGTCCGGTCAGACTATAATAGTCTCTATAGTCTGACTAAGATCTGTGCTTTGCAGGCTGAACGTGAATAAGATGGTGCGAAAAATTTATGTGCTTAGCAGATCTCATCCTCTGGGACAAAGACTGCAAGGTTTACAAGCTATCCTGTTCATAAGAGGAGGCCAGAGGTCTCAGCCAAAACACTGTCTGGGTCAACTAGACAGAATTAGTTATACGGTTGGTAACAGTGGCTGCTATCCTAATGTGATGTGATTCTATATCTAATTTCTAAAGGGCATCAAATATGATATCTTGCATAGCAGTAAATAAACCATGAAAAGCGGACTGATTTTG